TATAGACTCTTTTTTTTTTTTTGTACCAGGGATAGAACTCAGGGGCACTGGACCACTGAGCCACATCCCCAGCCCTATTTTGTATATTTTATCTAGAGACAGGAACTCAATGACTTGCTTAGGGCCTCACTAAGTTACTGAGGCTGGCTTTGAATTCTCAATCCTCCTGCCTCAGCCTCCTGAGCAGCTGGGGTTACAGGTGTGTGCCACCATGCCCAGCTGCTTCTAACCCTTTAATTTGTCATCCAAGGTGCTCCTTCCACCTTACCTCCTACCAGTGCTCACCATATTTCTAATACCAGCCTGGGGCTGGGGGTGAAGCTAAGAGGTAGAGCACTTGCCTAGCGTGTGTGAGGCTCTGGGTTCAATTCCCAGCACACTGCAAACCAAACCAAACCAAACCAAACCACCTATCATCCCGCTAGTGTCCTTTTATGAACCCTGTATTTTATCTAGCTGAGCACAAGGTCTTTGACATGCCCTGTGCTTCCTTTTCTCTGAGTCTTTATGTTTACTATTGCTTCCCTCTTTTTTTCTTTTCATTTTGGGGATTGAACCCAGGGTCTTGCATGTGCTAGGCAAGCACTCTACCACTGAGCTACATCCCAAGCCATTTTTATTTATTTTGAGACAGACAGACACTAAGTTGCTGAGGCTGGCCTTGAATTTATGATCCTCCTGCCTCAGCCTCCCAAGTATCTGCATCCTGTAGGATGCACCATCATGGCTGGCAAGCCTTGCCTACCTTAACATCATCGATTCCAGTCTGTGTTAGGTAAAGAGAAGCAGTGGTCAGGATTTTCTTGCTGTTTTGGTACTGGGGATTGATCTCATCCTGATCCACATCCCAGCCCTTTTAATTTTTTTTGCTTTGAAACAGCGCTAAATTGCTTAGGGCCTTGCTAAATCGCTGAGGCTGGCCTCAAACCTGTAATTCTCCCTGCCTCAGCCTCCCGAGTTGCTGGGATTACAGGTGTGTGCCTCCATGCCAGACAATGTTCCGTGCTTTGAAATCTTAGGGACCTTAGACTGCTTTTCTGGAAATCCTCATCAGTACAGATTCAATGATGCTGCTTCCCAGTATCTTTCCCTACCCAGGCAGCATCCCAGCCATTTCTCCCTTCCTCTGCCTCCGTACCCAAGCCCAGGAGGACATTGCCTGCAGTGGCCACCAGGAGGTGCATTTGTGCCACAATCAGCACCCGACTTGGGCAGGAAAAAGCCAGCTTCAATCTCTTGGCTACATCGGATTCCTCTGAAGTAAACTGCAATGTTCTGTCTCCTGATGACACTACAGCCATCTTCCTGTCTCCCCGTCCTCCTGGCACACACATAGAATTTTCTACTTCTGTATTTCCAGTCTCTTCTTTTGATCAAACAGCCCATTCCCTTCTCAATGGACACTACACTCTCCCCCCCCCAGCCCAGCCTCAGGCTGGAAATGCATTGTGGGGAAGGGATCCCACAGTTTCTGCCAACAAAAGAGGATGAGTGTGAGCCACAGCAAGAGAATTTGGAATTTCGTTTACCTGCAACATTGAGAGGAGACCAGCCGAGGGCTCGTCTCACAGAGAAAGGACCTCAGCCAGGTAACTGTCCAGAACAGCACAACCGCAGGGACTCCTAGAACCAAGTGGAGCCACGCAGCCACGAGAAACCGCGGCTGACCAGAGGGAGGGCTCAATATATATTTGCTGAAAGATGGAATGAATCTGTAATAAAGGGAAAGAATCGGTCAATGTGAATGAATAAGGTTCCTCCCTAGAGTAGGGTGTTTTAAAGTCTATGGACACTAGGTGGCAGCACAAGGCAAAAAAAGAGAGGGAGAGCGCGCGCGCCCAGGACCTCCCTGGCCTTGACAAGGGGCTGCCCTAGCTAGGAGCACCTGCCTTCCACTGACCGCAGGACCCTTCTCTTCCTACTGTCGTCTTTCAAATGATGGCAGTTTTGCCAATGCTAAAGACACCGAAGCAGGCAGAAAAGAGGAAAACCGGGAGGAGAGGGCTAAACACATATGCCTAGGGTTGGTTTTCCAGATTGACCCTGGAACTGGAATTCTCCGGCTCTCCAAAGGGCATAAGAAAGGGAGAAACTGGAAGAATTCCATGAGCAATCTGAATTGGGGAGCGTTTAAGTAGGAATCTTTCCCCAGTATAGACGGATGGGGGAAAGAATTGGTGACAGAGCTTTCTTTTTCTTTTCTTTCTTTTTTTTTTTCTTTGTTTTTAAACAAACAATGACACCGTCATTCATACCTGTCTCAGGTCATTCTCGGACCCTGATCACTTTCTTCGTTTAGTCTCTCTAAGACAAAAATCCCCCTTCCTGTACCATTTTCTTTTTTAAGCTATTTTTTTTTTAGTTGTAGAGGGACACACAATATCTTTGTTTATTATTTTATTTTTTATGTGGTGCTGGGCACTGAGCTACGGCCCCAGCCCCTCCTGTACCCTGTACCCCTTTCATTCCACTGTTGCTCGGCCCAGTGATGCCCTCCCACTTTATTTCTTCTTCTTTTTATTTATTATTTATTTTTTGGTGGTGCTGGGGATTTAACCCAGGGCCCTGTGCATGCAAGGCAAGCACTCTACCAACAGAGCTATGTCTCCAGCCCCCGATGCCCTCCTACTTCCCTTCAGCACCATAGAACGCAGATCTGACCCCTTTCTCTGCTGTGGGTTGTGATTTTTGTTCTTGCTTCCTCCAGACATCACTCCATGGTGAGGAAGGGGTGAGTATGAGTCTCTCCTTTCCCTGAACTCCTGCAGCACTTTATAATAATGCATGTGAAGGTCTTGAAACAGACTGTTCAATCAAGGTCAGTGATCATCATTGCCATCTACAACTACATGCATTAGTTTACAGTTTCAGAGAATTTTGACACAGTGCTTCTTTCTATCCATCCTTTATTTTTGGGAGGGGGGTACTGGGGATTGAACCTGGAGGGGCTTTTGCCACTGAGCCACATCCCCAGCCATTTTTATTTTTATTTTTTATTTATGCATTCATTTATTTAGAAACAGGGTCTCAGTAAATTGCTGAAGCTGGACTCAAACTCATGATCCTCCTGTCTCAGCCTCCAGGATGCTGGGATTGTGGGTGTGTGTCCCTGTGCCCAGTATAGCTTATGGTTTTCAGTCACCTATTCTGAACAGAAATTCCTTTTGTATCTTTGATGGGTGGTGATTCATGACCAAACATTGTATTTAGTCTTTTCTGACAGTTTGTTTTTCTTCTTGCCCTACCTCATTCTCATTTCTATAAAGATGTGTGTGTGTGTGTGTGTGTGTGTGTGTGTGTGTGTGTGTGTGTGGTGCTGGGGATGGGACCCAGGGCCCCACAGGTAAGCAAAGGCTCTAAGCAGCATCCAGTCCTTCTCACCTCTAGTCACAGGTTCCTCTGAATCATCAAGTAAATGGGCCTCTCTTACACAAATGGTCCATCAAGGATCAGTATCTTAAGGACAGATGCCAGGTCTCCATAATCAGTTCCCCCCCACCACAATTCCCCACTTAGGAAGACTACTCTTTTAAGAATCATTTTAGCTGGGTGCCATCATGCCAACAACTTGGGAAACTGAGGATCCCAAGTTCCAGGCCAGTCTGGGCAACTTAGCAAGACCCTGTAGCTCAGCGGCAGATCACACCTGAGGTCAATCCCCAGGACCATACACACAAAAATTTACTTTAAGCATCTCACCCACAGGTCAGGCACTTTAGTATGTCTGTATTTTCATGTCATCTCACAACCCTCATTGCAAACCCCGTACAATAAACAGCATCCTTGTTTTGCTGATAAGGAAAATGATGTTAAGAGAGGTGGTGTGACTGCCACGGTCACTACGTCTCTCAGCAGGGCAGGGCCCCTCAGGGTCGGGCTTGTCCTTTGCTCTGAGCTCTCTTCTGTGCCAGCATCTCACTTCAGATGGAGCCAGTCTGAAGTCAGCAACATTCACCACTTTTCTGAGCCAAAGACCACAAGGACCACCCTGGCCAGTCACCTCCTATCAAGGTCTCCTGATGAGCTGATGGTCCCGAGATGTGCAGGGCTTTTGGATCTGAGTTATCACCAAGCATGGGTGCTCACGGTTTTTGCCTTCTCCTGTACTCCTCATGTTTGGGATTTCTTCGTTCTTCAGTGGCCACTCGGTTCAGGCCACCTCCTTGATGAAACCCATTCCTGATTGCACATTATCCCAACTGAAATTGATCTCTCTCTTCCCATAGAATTTCTATTTCCTGAGCAGTAATTTGTGTTCTTGTTTTCACTCTTTAAATCAGGACATATGCCCCTTTCTTCTTTATGACACTTAACTGCCTTGCACAAAGGGACAGCCAGCAAACATTTGTCAAATGAACAAACCTAGTAACTGGGAAGTTTTTGTCTTTTGTTTCTAAATGCAAACCTTTACACACACGTTCTTGTTAAATTTCTTAAACCAGTCCTTCCCACCTTCTCTATGATTTCTTTTTTTTTGGGGGGGGGCATACAGATTGAACCTAAGGACGCTTAACCACTGAGCCCCATCTCCAGCCCCTTTTAACTTTTATTTTGAGGCAGGGTGTTGCTAAGTTGCTTAGGGTCTCACTAAGTTCTGAGGCTGTCCTTGAACTTTCAATCCTCCTGCCTCAGCCTCCCATGACTGGTCCTTCTCTATGATTTGAGGGCTGGCTCCCTGTCGTCTCGCACAGTGTCTTGTCCAGGGCACCAGGAGCCCCGTATCATCTCATAACAGCAGTCCTATGAGGTGGGCATGATTCCTATTTTACAGACGAGGGAATGGGCAGTGAGAGAGGGAAGGAGCCATACCCAGGATCACGTCTCGTGAGGAGCCCAGGCTGGGGTCCATTCACACTGAGATAGTCCCTCCTGACTCCAGTGTTTCTGTCACCCTTTCTGGGGACCAGTTGTGTCTGGGGCAGTCACCCCAAACAGGCGGTCATTTGGCAGAGCTGGAGAGACCTGCCTCTGCACATTGTCCTGTAAAGGATTAGACGGGTTGTCCCGCAGGTTCTGGAGCAGGTTGGAAAGTCGCTAAGATGCCAACATGGAGGTTTGAAGGACAGAGAGCGCTGGGAGTGCCCTCTGACCTTCTCTAGGCTGCCTCCTCAGTAAAGCCGCACCCTCCTTCCTTCTCCCTTTTCCTTCCTTCCTTCCTTCCTCCCTCCCTCCCTCCCTCTGTCTCCCCCCTCCCTCTCCTTCTCTTTCTTTCTTTCCAGGACTGGGGTTTGAACCCAGGGGCATTCCGCCACTGAGCCCCTTTTTATTTTTTATTTTGAGACGGGGGTCTCACTAAGTTTCCCAGCCTGACCTCAAACTGTCAGTCCCCATGCTTCTGAGTCACGGGGATCGCACAGCGCCCGGCTGTATTTCATTTCTTTTCCATAGCAGTTGTCACCTTGTGATCACACATAACACGCGTGATCTAATCCCCCAAGCAGAGGCCGGTCGGTCTGTGCGGGGGGCCTCCCACTCCTGCTCTGGCCGTGGATGTCCCGTGAGACCCTGGGCGAGGAGCACTCCCTGCCCCACCCTCCCTGCCCCTCTTGGGAAACTTCTTTCTGCCGCCGTAGAGAACAAGCGGGAAAAGCTCATAGAATAAATGACTCTCAGATGAAATCAAATGAGTGTTTTGGTGGATTTTTGGGGTCCTCTTTCCCACAGCCCTGCCAAGGGGGGCCTGAGAGTTAGGTTTCCATAATGATTTCCCAACAGTCACAGGTGGGAGAATCTAAAGACTAGAAAGGGCTGGGGCCAAGGTGGCCTCAGGGCAGGGACAGCAGGATGGTGGGGCACAGGACAGCCTGTCCCACACCTCCACAGGGGGCTGATCCTGAGAGACCCCCGGAGCCCCGGGCCCGCCCCTCTCCCCGATTCCCATCGTCGCAGGCTCCCGAGGAGAATGCGGGTCAGGAACATCAGTGACCTTTCACACCTCAGACAAGCTGAGTTTGTTTCCTCCCTTTCTGTCCCTCGAGCAGCAGGGGGGAGGGGGGAACGGGATGGGCCTTGTCGAACTTTCTCCGGCTACAATACCCCAGAGGAGCTGAAGTGGAGGGAGTAAAGGATCTATTTATTTTGGCTCAGGAGGGACAATGTAAGCAGATGGTCTTTGATGGGATTAGCGGCGTAATCTCTAAGACCCTGGTAAATTGGAAAATGATCCATTATATTCCGGGAACCTTTGGCGGCTCAGGCTCCTGGGGAGGGAGGGGCAGGGCCCGGGGGCACCTTGTTAGAAAGGACCCCCCTCTGGGAGCAGCCGAATCCCCGCACAGAGAATTTGGGAAGAGGTTCGTTAGCTGTGCCAGGCAAGCCTCTCTCCTCTGGGAGCGCAGAAAGGAAAATCCTCCCGGGGCCATCTCAGGGCCTCAGTCTTCTCCTCTGCCCTGACCCCACTCGGGGATGTGCTGGGGGGTCTTCACCACCGTACCCCAGCAGTCACCCTTCCCTTCCCAGGGTGTCCAGGCCTCTCCAGGGACAGACGTTATGGAGTCTCTTGCTTGGAAGGTCCGAAAATTCTTAGAATCCAAATTCTGTTTGGCCCCCTGCAATCTCCACCCTTGGGCCATCTAGCCAGGCCTCCGGGTACTTCAAGGCAGAAAGCCACCCGGGAGAGGGCCGAGCGCTACCGTGGGGTGGGGAGGAGGGATTGGGGAGAAGGAAGAAGTGTGAAAGGGAAGGTAAAAGACTCCACTCTGCACTCACCTCATCCTCAGGAGCCCAAGAGCCTCCAGGCCCAGGATCCTCTCTAAGGAGAGGACGCTGGCCACTGGGCTGGGGCAAGGGGAGGACTCCTCAGTGCCCGTGTGCCGCAGTGGGAGGCACTGATGTGGCTTGGCTCGGAGGAGCTATGTGGAGTCTTACATAGCATCTTGCGGTTCATAAAGAAACTCTGATGGGCAGACTTTCATTTGGATTTGGCGAGAACATTCCAAAGATTAGAAGACAGGTTTAGGGAGGGTTGGTGATTTGCCTAAAGTCAACCAGTTCGGTGAGTGACAGAGTTAGGGCTGAAATTTACCTTTTTTGACTCTGAGTCAGTGTTTTTTTTCCTCTTCTCCAACCTACTATTTTTCTTCTGCCTGTGCATCCTCTGGTCATATGTAAGTACACACACACACACACACACACACACACACACACACACGATTTCCTTGCTTTGACTCTCCCTGTCTTTCCCCAAAACATGCAAACATACTATGAATGTTGTATATATTTCATATGTTTATAACCTGAATCAATGGGATAGCGTTATTTATCTCAGTTTTTAACCACTTCATTCAACATCATACTGTGAGATCTATTCATGTGGATAAATACAAGTGTAAATTTGGATAAATCCTTTATTACACAATATTTTTCTTCATTCCTTTTAACATTTAAGTCACTTCCCAAACTTTATTTTTACAACCACCCCTTAATAGGTATCGGATTGGAATTGTATCACATTTATAGGTTCACCTTGCGGTATTAAAAACCAAAACATTGAAATGTGCATTGCTCCATACACAGAATCTCTGTAAGTCTCTAAAAATCCACACGTAAGGAAAGTGGTGTGTGGGGAGACAGAATGGCAGTACAAACCAATTATTCCATTTCAAATAGGAATTCCAACGCTTTGGGGCTAGGGGTGCAACTCGGTGGTACAGCACTTGCCTAGCATGCAGGAAGCCATGGCTTCCATTCCCAGCATGGAAGGAAAAGAAAAGAAATAAAGAAAAATTCCAACACTTTTGAATGTACTAACTTTAACTATAAAAAAAGGGGGGGAACTGATTATTGGTGAATGGACCAAGGGGAATTTGACTCAAAAGGTAAGAGTGCAGAGGCAGCAAGCAACAGTCATTCACCCCACCCTTCGCACTCCCCACCCCAAACAGGAGAACCCAAACATCCACAAGACATTCCTGAATTGGGAGAACAGCTACAGTTTCCAGAGCGTCTATGAAGAGCCATGAAGGCAGGGACTGGTGCATGAATTCACTGAGTTCTTAGCAGCACCCAGGGAGATAGTTTCCCTTTCCCCCCCCTCCCATATCCCTGTTCTAAAGAAGTTACAGAGAGGTTAAGGAACTGGCTTAGAGTCCCATAGGCAGTGAAGACATGGCAGTGCCCTCTGATTGTGCACATTCCCACACCTGCACCCTCCCCCAAGATGTCAGGCCTTTACGTGGTCCTCTGCCACCTGAGCACGGGGGCGGGTTATCCATCTCTGGCAGGGGCCCTCCTGATGAAGAACAAGCCCTTTTTGTTCTCCCACCCTCCTGGGCAGGAGCTGCCCACTCCTCAGCCAATGACCCACACCCAGACACCAACTAGTACTCAATATGTGTACTGCTGAGCTCCAAAATGTTCTGGGATGAGGTTGACTGGCCTCCAAATCCAGGTTGTTCTCATTTGGACTGAGTGGAGTCCACTTCGTTACTAGTTCTATTTTTTTTTTTTTACTGAAAGGACTTTGGGAACTCCAGCCTCAGACCTGCTTTATATGAAGAAGAAAAGAGGTGGGGGACGTTTGGGGTCAGAGCCGCCAAGTCTATCTCAGCAGCCTTTTAACCCACCAGTCCACAAATGGGAGAGGGGCAGGAGATGTCCGTTCAGGTTTTTTGAGAGTAAAAACGACTCCCGATGATTTGATTCCCCGACACTCAAGTCAGTCCGGGCTTATTATGATGGGTGAGCTCTGGACCAGGCCAGAGTCTTCCTGGACGGGATCCCCGAAGCGGCTCGTGGGTGCCTGAATCTGGAGGAGCTGGGCTTGCTGGGTGGGTCTCTGTGCCCCACAACGTAGCAGCTTCTCACTGCCCCGCAGTCCCTCAAGTCCCCTTTGCCTGCCAACAGCTAGGGGTCGGTGGGGTCTGCGCGTTGCTAAATCTTTCTGTCTGGACCCTACCGGGCACTGGGGACGTGGCGTCTAAGGGCACCATTTGGCAGCCTGGGAAGAAAAGGGAACTCGGGCAGGTCCCAGCAGCAGCGCGGGGGAGGGGAGCTGTTGGCGCCTCTGGGCCAACTCCCGGAGGGGACCCGCTGCGCCGTCCACTGCCCTGGGTCCCCTCTCTTTTCCCTTCTGCTTTTCCTCTCGGGTCTCTCTTCCTCTCTTAGCCCCCCTCAATTTCTTATCCCCACCCCCACATCTCCCTCCTGCCCGCTGCCAGCTTCCTCTCTCGCCCCGTCTTCTCCGGTTGTCCCTGACTCAGCCCCCGGCCCCGCACCACCGCGGCCACTTGCCGCGCGCAGTTGGAGCGCCGAGAGGAGCCGTCCCTTCCCGCCGGGCTGGGGTCCCGCGCTGTGACCCGGCAGAGGGGACGCGATCTGCAGCCCGCCACCACCCCCAAGCTCCCCGCCAGCCAGCCCCGGCTGACCCCAGACTGCGCTCGGCGCCACCAGCCCCGTCACCGCGTCTACACGGGCCCAGCGGCCAACAACTCGAACCCCAGGGAGGACTGACCCTGAGAGGTGGCGGCTTGGAGCGTCCCTCTGGGCTTCACCTCCCCGGGGTGGCCGCGGCGGCGGAGGGGGGGGGGGAGCGGAGGTGGCTCTCCGGGTCCAGCCCTGGGTCTCCCGCTGCTGGAGGCGGGTGCGGGCAGCAGGTCGGCGGCGGGACGCTTCGCTGGAGCCGGGTCCAGGGAGCGGGCGGCGGGCGAAGAAGCCCGGAACCCGGGCTTGGGCCACCCAGCGGCGACGCCGAGACCGAAGCTGCCCAAAGCCCAGTCGCCCCGTCTAGGACCCTCTTCCCCACTCCGCCCCCTCGCCCTTCCTTCCCATCCGCTAGTTCACACCCTTAGCGTCTTGGCTCTATTTGCTTTCCTCTGTCACTCGGCGTTATTGTTGGGTCCCTTTTCATTTAACGTTTTCTGCCTTTTCAAGTGGACTTGGGTTTTCTGTCTTTCTTTTGGAAATCGGGTCTCTTCCTCCTTTTCTGCTCACTTCTCCTGGGTTCGGGCTCGTCCCCCGTTTCGGTTCCTCTCCCCTGCGCCCTCGGCCGTGGGGTGCCGCCCGCGGGCAGCGTCCGCAGCGGGTGACCGCGGCGAGAGAGCAAGTGAGCGAGTGTCCTCCACACCTCGCTTTTCTACTCCGAGTCCCCTCGGGGCCTCCTAGCGGGTCCACGCCGGGTCCACGCCGCGGCGGAGCGTGGACTTTGCTGAAAGCGGGAGCCTGCCGCAGTCGCAGTCGCTGCCGCCGGCGAGAGACCCCGCAGGGACGCGGGCAGGGACGCGGGCAGGGGGCCGTGCTGGCGTGGCGTGGCGTGCTCCACCGTGGCTTCGGCCTGGCTCAGGGGCAGGCAGAGGGCCAGATCCACACTTTGCACAAAGAAACCTCAGGCTGATGCCCAGTGGGACTCAGGGACCTGCAGGTCATCGTCCACAAGCTCACCAAGGGCACTGAGTTAACTGGGAGCCTCACAGGTGACTCAAGCGTGTACACACAACCCACACCGACAAACACGCCGGAGACCAGCAAAGGTAACACAGGAAGCCCCAAACTACATGTACAGACTGTGGACATACACACGATCGATCGTGGTGCATATACAGCAACCTGGTGCACACATGATGGCACACTGCTGGCAGACTTGGCACCGAAAACATGAACCTACTTGCACACACTCAGCGGCCCAGGGAGATTTCAATGGCTAACTCAAACCATCGCAGTGGTTCTTGGGAGAAAACCCCCGCAGCGGCAGCCGGGAAAGGGCCCTGCCTATTCTCAGCAGCAAAGACAGCAAGTAGCCTAGCACCCATAAACACCCACCCAGATTCACTACCCATGTATCTGAGGACTGAGGTTGCAGGGGCTCCAACACTAGCTGCTTGCTTAGCTCAGGGATGTAAGCAAAATCCCAGAGCCAGAGCCCCAGAAATGAGCATCAGACCTAGAGAACCCTATGTGAAGCAGACAGAAACAGTTACGGTACCAAGAAATGGCACCGTGTTGCAACAGCACCAAGCAGGAAGCCATTCGTGTGCCAGTATGGATTCCATCCCACATGTATCACGCACAGTGCTAGTGTTTGGCCAGGTGCCTGTGTAGACTGTTACTTATCTGAAAACAAAATGATGTATATGATTCTAGGAATAAAAGTAAAGTAAGTACAAATATATGTACCAATATACACTCAGAAAGATGTAAAGTAGGAAATCTCTTTCCAGCTCGTAGGTAGGTATTATCAAGCTGGCGTGATAGCCATGCCTCTGTGGCTAGATCTGGTCACCTTTCCAGGGAACAGGTGACCGAAGCTATGGCAGCTCTGCAGTGAGGTTGGTTTATGGGAGAACCCTGTATATATGTTATATAATCAAGCCACTTAGGGAAGGGATTTGGGCTGTTTTAGGGGGGTAAAAGAGCAAAGGGCTGTTGGAGCTTCATCTATAGAAGTCTGAGAGATACCTTCCATAGCAGCTGTGAAAGTGGTAGTCAGATACGCCTGGCCAAAGACAGAGCCTGTCTCTAGAAAGTTATCAGTCACCCAGCCCACACTGGATAAAAACACAAATCTGTACACAGGCACATGTGGACCTGCTCCACACGCAGAGACGTCCTGACAATCAAGCCTGGCAATGTGCATTTACAGGTGTCCGACTGGATTGCTACAGAGATGAATTCTATAGGAAAGAAGATGAGGTGAGACATATTTGTGTGCACACACAGAGCCCCATAGACTTGGCACTTACTTACTGTACAGTAACACTACAAAAGTAAAAAAAAAAAAAAATGCAAAGACCAAGAAAGAAGTGCTGGTGACTCCCCACCTCAGAATGTCAGGCTGCCAGGAGAGCTCTCTATATGGCGCAGCCCAGGGAAGAATCCATTGATTGTCCTCACGACCCCAGTCTATTACTAGTGCAGAGGAATGTGCCTGGTAAAGTTACACATCTACTCCCCAATTTCTGGGCTGAGCCTGGGGTGGAAACAGGCAGGAGTGAGGGCCATATTCCAGGTCTCTAAGTTGGAAAAGAAAACTGAAAGCTTGGCCCCTGGGTCTGCTCTATCCAGGATCAGGTTTGAGGTGCCTCTCAGTGCCTTTTGCAGGTCGGTCTGTGGGTCTCAGTTTCTGCCTCTCTTAGTTTCTCGCTGCTCAGTCTGTCCATCTTTCTCTGCCTCTTCAGCTCTCACACTATTCTGTAGTATAGAGCCACAAAGAATGAGAAACAACTGGATCCAGGAACAAATATAAATATAAATGCACATCATAGATTCAGAAATTATTGGCTCTAAAGCCCCTCTGGTTTGCTGGTGTGTGTGTGTGTGTGTGTGTGTGTGTGTGTATTCCATTTTTGGGGTACAAGTCTAAGTACAGCCTTGAAGTTGTTTCCTCCTAGTCTTTTGGCTCTGCCTGATGGGTTATCTGTTTCTGTATTCATTTCTTTCAGGAACATTTCTTCTTTTCTTTTCCTTTTTCTATTTTTGATACTAGGAATTGAATGCAGAGATACTTTACCACTGAGTTTCGTCCCTAGCCCTTTTTACTTTATATTTTGAGACAGGGTCTCGTTAAATTGCTTAGGGCCTTACTTAGTTGCTGAGGCTGACTTGTGATCCTCCTGTCTCAGCCTCCAGAGTCACTGGGATTACAGGTGTGCACTACCACCTCTGGCACATATCTTCTTCATTCTAACACAAGCCTCAAGACCTTTGGACCTCCCTTGGTTTAAAAAACCCTCCTTCTCCCCAATATTACCTTCTTTGGAGTTTGCCTCCAGTGCACAAAGCTTTTTATTTTATTTTTTTAGGCAGAGATAGCAACATCACAAACAGGAACTTGGAGACATTTGAAACACAGATGCAGGTATCTCTAGGAACATAAAAAAGGCTTTGGGGTGAGCCAGACAGAAATACTCCCCTAATCCAGTTGGGGACTGGAGACTTCTTGTGAGCAGGGTAGAGGCAAGATCAGAATGGAGCTGTGGAATCCTGTAGCTACTCTGGGGCCAGCAGAATTCTACCCAGTGAGGCAGAGGCAGGGGAACGCAGCAACCCGGTAGAGCAAGTCCTGAGAAGGAAAGATGGGGGGACATGGGGAGGGGACCAATGAATCCTGCAAAGTGTCCAGCTTCCCATCCATGTATCTGGTATAATTCCTGAGTAGGGACAAGACAAGGGCCCAGGGAGGACTCCTTAGAGGCCAAGGTGTCCAGAGAGATCCCACCAGAGAGTCCAGGACGGACTCTGTACCATCCCCTGGGGAAGAGAAGGGGCTCCAGGGCCTTGAGTTTGTGCTCATGTACTAGTTAGAATGAAGGAATTCGCCAAAAGCCGTGGCTTGGGGTTTCCTGACCATGTTTTTGGTGGTGGAATAAGGGAGAGGGTTTGCTAACGTGGAGGTGCCTCAGCCTCTAGGTCTGGGGGCTGGGAAGGTCTGGGTGCCCCTGCTGGCCCCCAGCCCAGTGACCCTGATCAGCTCATCCTTCCACGCCCCACATCAACAGATCCTTGTTTTCACGCCAGATCTGGAGTCTTTGTGCCTGGCTCCGTGTGAATTTGCAACTCCTCTGTCCCCGGCTCCCCCCGCTCCCCGGGAACGGTGGTCCTGTCTCCCTGGTCTCTGTCTTTGCTTCGCAGCTTTTCTGGCTTCATCTGTCTCTGTTTTCAGGTCCCTGTCTCTCCATAACACCCCCTCCCCCTTTGTTAATTCAAAGGCTTCTCACTGAGCCCCTCCCCGCTCTTCCCAGAATAACATTGAGTAAAATGAGATAAAAAACGCCCGCCTGCCTGCCACCCGCCCGTGGGTTTTTTTTCCCCTGTCCTACTCCCCTCAGCCCCCTCCCCCAGGGCTACAACCCCCTCTTATAATGTCAGATAATTGCTGGTGTGCAGCTCGGAGGAGCCAGAGCTGGTACCAGGGAAGGAGAAAGGGGGAGAGAAATAAATAATAATCTGCCTCCATTCAGCGTATATAGGTTACCTGATTTGCATATATGCTAATAATGCTATAATTATCCTGCTGTTCTGGCCTATGATCAAGTTCTATAAATACATAGGATAGAGAAGCTAGGCCCAGCAACACCACCCCCCAAATTACCCAGCATATGTATGTATCTGCGTGCATTTGTGGTAGCTTCTCTTTGTTGCCACACACACTGCCTTATGGATCCTGGCTTCTCTCTTCCGCTGTCCTCCCGGTGGGTGCAGGCGATTCCAAGGGAGGAGCACTGGGAAAACATTCCAGTTGTAGGAATTCTTCCTATTCATTTCATTGTGAACGGGATGGGTATTTTTAAGAAGATCAAACATGTTTCCCAAATTATTGAATGAGTTGTTACCACCTGAGTGCCCCCACCCCCCACAGGCCCCCACTATGGGGGTACGGGTTCTCTCCGGGAGAGGGAAGAGGAAGCCCCCCACATCTTCGGCCTATTGAGATGTTTCAGAAAGTGCTGTCAGGAAAGAGGAAGTGGATTCGCCTTGCCTAAAATCTATCCCAGCCTCCTAGCTTGCACCCCGCTCTGCTCCGCTCTGCAGGAAACCAGGGCAAGATGCACAGGGGGTGTGCGGGGTTTTTTTGGGTGATGGTGGCAGAAGCGGGGAGGAGGCTCAGAGGAACATAAAAGATGCAATCCACAGCTGTCTGCTTTTAATTATAATTATCCCCTTTTGCTTCCTTTCTGGCTAATGAGGGGGGAATTTAAATTTCCCCCCTTTTCTCCCCCTCCCTCCTTTCCCTGGAATTGAGGGGTGGGGTGAGTTCAGGGTCCTCCTCCCCTTCCTCCCCTAGCCCCTGCTTACTGGGAGAAAGGCAGACTCCAGAGGGTAGTGACAGTATGAAGAGATTTGTAGGAACAAAAGAAGGACAGGTTTGGATTGCTGGACACGTCCCAGAGTTGGAGAGACCCCCCCCCATTCCACTGGCACCCCCTCCCACCAACCCCCCAGCTCCCTAGACAAGGAACTCAATGTCTTCCAGCCGGTGAGAAAGGGGCTAACAGGAGCCCTGGTCTACAGGGAAGGGGGAGGGCAGGGGTGGGGAGCTGGGGGGGGTGCAAAATTAGTCTCAAAGGATCTTTATTTCTGAGCTAGTGAAGCAGATGTAATCAAGGAGAGAGCAAAATGATCATAATGGGAAGAATGGGGGGAGGGCCAAGCGGGGCTGGAATGGGGGGACTGGGCCTGGACAGAGCTGAGAATTGGGGGGCAGGGAACTTTGAGTGGGGGAGTCTGTCGCCTCCTCTCTGCCTCCAGAGCCTCCTTACTTTGCGGAAAGAAGGTCCAGGGCCGCAGACTCTGACCTCGGTCCTCAGAAGCCCTCAATTGGAGCTTAGGGATGGCTGGGCCAGAAGGTGCCTGCGAAGGCCCTAGGGAGAAGAGAGGCCCCCCCCTTCCGCCCCCCAGTCGAGGGAGGTAGTGAGGAGAGGGGAGATGGAAAGCAGTGGGGGAGGGTGAGAGAGGGGAGCCGGCGGCGGAGACTCAAGTGGCCTCCAGGTCTGTGGGACAAAAGTTGGAGGGAGATTTGTGTATGAGAGAGAAGGGGAGGGGGCCGTGGGGAAGGGGGGGGGCTTTGACAATGAACTTGAGACAAACTTCATTAGCATGCAGGCCTGCTGTCTGTCACGTCGAGCTCAGGCCGAGTTCCCATGCAAGCCAGGAAGAGTGGGAGGGAGAGGGAGGGAGGGGTTGAGGGAGGGGGTGAGAGGGAGAAAAGAGACCCGACCATTGTACCGTCCTGGGCCCCCAGCCTCCACCAAACCTCGGGACCCCAGCCCTGGAAACCCACCCCCAAATCGCTCTCCCTCCTCGGAGAGTGGGATAATTTATCTCTCACTGGAGTCCCTGGTCCCACCCCTCCTGTTCTGTCTAGACGTCCAAGTGCTGGCCGTCCCCCCTCCAGCTCTCGGCCTTCACCTTCCAATTGTCACTTCCCCCTTCACAGCCGCGATCTGGGTTTTCCATTAATTCAGCTGACAGTGTTGGGGCCCCAGGGGAGCTGTGGAAAGGGGGCGCTGGAACACCCCCAAACCTCCAAGTGGCTAACTGTGCCCTCTTCCTAGGACTCCTTACCAACTCTGCTCCCCACCCCACGGCCTCACGTCATGGGATCACTCTCTCAAGTTCAAAAGCAAACGAAAACTTGGAAGCACCCAGGGATAGGGGTACTTCTGTCACACCCCTTTCTCTTGTTTCCTTTGGGGACAAGGGTGGCCTGGAGGAACAATAGCGTCCCTTAGCCCCTTCTTCCTTCTTCAGGTTAGAAAAGGCACCAGAGGGAGGTGAGGGAAACAGCGCACATGACAAAGACCCCCTTCTCACTGGGGCATGAAAGGGGAGAAGGAGGGGGGGGGCTCCATGAGAATGGGCTGTTATTTTGGTGGTGACGGTGGTGTCTCCAGCTAGGGGCAGCACCCCCTTTTTGCTGCCTTTCCAGGGAGAGCAGCAAGAAAAAGAAAGAGAGAGAGGCAAGCGAAATTCCTGAATGGATAGACAGATGCTACGTCACCGGGAGCTGCATCCTCCACTCCACAAGAGGCTGGGAGCAGGGGGGAGACGGGCAGTCCAGCCGCAGGGGCCACCCGTGCAGCCTCTCCTCTTCACAGAAGCAGGGTAAGTGGCCACTGGGGTCCAGAGAGGATCCCAGCTCCCTCAGACATCTGGACTGGGGGTGGCGAGGGAGCCTCTCAGCTGAGTCAAAGCACCGTAAGCTCCCTACTTTGCCTCCTGGCTAATGGAGTCTGGTGCCACCATCACAGGAAGAAAAGGCTGATGATGAAAGATTCAGGGGGTCCCCAGAAGGGACGAGGCATGTGAGCGGAGGAGGAGTTGGAGAGTGGGGCTTCACCTCCCGGCTTCCTGGGCATCCATCACGGAGCTGAAGGCAGTGGCCCTTCCCAACCGCCCAGAGCGCCTCTTGGTCCCCCTCCTTCCCCCAGCCCCTGCCAGCCCAGACAGCTCACTAAGTTTGTCAATGGGATTGGGGGGGACTTTAGGGTCACGGTGCTACTGATCCTATTAATCCGCCCCTCCCTTTTCTCCACCAGACATGGCCAACATCTTAATGCTCGCAGCAGAGCAGAGGCAGGAAGATTGTAGTGCAGACGGGAGGGAAGAGAAAAATGGTTCTGTGTGTGGACTCCTGACCTTCTTTTCTCGCCCCTGGCTTGTATGCTTCTCTGCCCCAGAGACTGCAGGTTTCAGGGGAAGCAAAAGTCCGGGGGGACTTGGAGGTGGGGGAGGAAAAGGAGCCCGGTTTCCAGGAAGGTAGAAACCAGAATTGGGGAAAAAAAAAAAACCCAAGTATTTTTTTTAGATTTAGATTCATTTTAGATTGAGATTGATTTCATTCCCCTTCTTCACCTGCCCCATTCCTATGAGCTGGCAGGTAGGAAAGGGGCTGAGAGTAGCTCAAAGGCAAGCAAGGTTTGGGGACAGATGCTTGGGTTCTAGAAGTGGGGAGAAGCCACTTCAAACCCCCCGCAGATCCACTGAATGGAGGAGTCTTGTCTTTTTGGTGTTATTAAAAGGAGGATTAGGGATATAGAAAGATGGCACTATCCTGAGCCTAGTCCCCACCTACTGTTCTTTCTGGGACACAGGCTGGGATCATTGTGGGGCAGGGGAAGTCAGAACAGAGCCAGCCATGCCTGGTGCCCCAGAGGCCAGAGTGCTGGGAGAGGCCGAGGCTGCCAGCCGGCTGTATGCGTGTGCGCTGGGCTGTGCTCCTTATCACCAGGTTCCCCTGGGCATTGTGTGTGCCTCGTGGCCACATGGGAGGGCAGAGGTCAGTGAGGAGAGATCCAATGGCCCCAGGGACCCCAGAACCGTCACTGACAGTGGAAGAAGGAGCCAGAGGTCCCCCAGCTGCCTGTCCTTGTGCCTGTTTTTTGGCAGGTCAGCAAATCGGCATGGGGTGGGGTGGCCCGTCTTTGGTGTGAAGCTAACAGTTTCAGACTGATACCTCCTTTTCTAAAATGGATGGGCTGCCGGTTCCGAGAGGGTTCAAAGTGAGGATTTGTGGGTATGAGAACTGGGGAGAGGCATTCAAAGCACCCCTCCTAGAAATCAGGCTTGGATTTAAGCTTATTCCTGTTCCACAGTACCTTGTATCCACCCCCAACTTCCTCTACATGTAGGCAGGTTATCTTCTGAGTTAAAAAAAGAAGAAGGAAAAAATTAGTTGAGGAATTGAATTTGAGATAGAAGAATTTATCAGCTTACCCCAACACACCCAGGTACACATAAATCCACTCCTGGTATTTTAGGAGCTAGGCTAGCTCTGCTCTACATGTGATTACCCCAAACCCTAATTTAACACTAAAACAGAATACTGGGAAGAGAAGACTATACAGGATGGACTGAGTTCCCGTACCCAAATCATAATAAATAACTGCACTGTATTCACACCATTTGAGTATGTAAAAAAAGAGAGGGGAGGAATTGGTAGCTGCAGGATGTCTTTGTGGACCCTGAGAGAGAGACATAGATAGACAGGTGGGTAAGTACCGACGGAGAAGGGTAGAGAAAGCCAGAGAGATTATGTGAATGAGAATATCTTAAATGTGCACAGTACTTTACAGTTTATAGTGTCACTAGATCTAGACAGACACAAATACATCTCTAATCCCAGATCCTCCCTTTTATCCTAAGGGTGCTCTCTGGTAGGCCAGGCATCAGGGATCTGTGAGGAGCTGTGTCCTTTGGGCAGAGGATTACTTCTTTATGTCAGAGCCAGAGATCTCCAGGGGCTCAGTTCAAACCCCTGGGCCTGGAGATCCTGAGGAGAGGCAGGGTCAGCGTCACCCAGGCAAGATGGAGTTGGAGCACCCTCCGCCCCTTTGTAGGCTTTTCTCTTTTCTCCACCCCCCCCCCCAGGGCAGCCTAGAGCCCTGGCGATTGAAAAGGGAAACATGGGTGCTGAGGTGCTGGCCACAGAGGGCTGGAGGAGAGTGGCAGGGAGCCTGGGGGCTACTAGGGAAAGGGACTGGCGCTGCCCAGTGGACTTTAACCTTTGTATTCTCTCCTTTGACAGGAGCTGGGCATCCGTCCGAGAAGCAGCAGCCTGATCTGTTTCTGGTGGCCACCTTTGGCTTCTGGGGTATTTATTTTCTTGTTGTTTGATGGTGGGGTGGGCTGGGGTGGGGAAGCTGACCCTGGATCACCTGTTTTTCTCCTGCATCTCTCCACCCCACTCCTGAACTCTTTGGAGATTCCCTGCAGTAAGGTCTATGTGCTGACTGATAATGGAAATGGAACAAGTCGCTGGCTGCCACCTTGCATTCAGCTCTGTGACTGAAGGGAAAGGCACTGGAGACGTAGGAAACTCGATTCCCCTTCTCCCATAGGCTCAGGAGTGCAGAGATGGAGGCCAGCTGGTCTGGGGGAGGTGACTGGTTGGGGAGGATGTTCATGGGTGACAGTAAGAAAAGTCAGACGGAATCAAGAAAGGAGAGGAGTGTGAGGTGGGGTGAATGGGGCCGTGGGAGCTTAAGCAACAATGAGTGGGTGTGTGTTCCCAGCATGCACCTGTGAGCCTCAGGAGGTGATTCTGCTGGGAGTCTTTGCCATTGTACTAGGTCTGAGCATGTGCAGTACACATACTTGCACAGTACCCTTGCACATACCCGCTGGTACCCCTTGCGGAGGCCATTAGCTGATGGCTGAGTGTCTTGTAGGTAGAAAGGCCCCATCTGGATGTCCCAGTCAATCCTTCACCATCTCTGCCATCTTTTTCTCACCTCCCCAGTAACATAGGGC